TAAGAAACAATGGATGGAAACTAATCAAGGAGAGAAGCAACCTTAGAACTAAGAAAAAAATTCCTGACAGTGAGAACAACTATGTAATCAGTGGAACAAATTGCCTCCAGAAGTTATGGGTGCTCTTTCACTGGAAGTTTTTAAGAAGAGATTGGACAGTCATTTCTTTTGAATGGTACAGGGTCTCCAGCTTGAGCCGAGAGTTGGGCTAGAAGACCTCCAAAGTTCCTCCAAAGTTCCTTCCAACCATATCATTCTATGTTCAATATTCTGTAATAGGTAACTCCATAATTTTGGGGTGGGAGGACTATTGTCTTTTTTGCTTGACTTGCCACCTAGCAGAATTCAGCTGAAGTCAAAAAGGCTAAGCAGTAACAAACCCAGTGAGTACAGGTAGTCCTTGACTTATGACTACAATTGAGTCCAACACTTCTGTTGCTAAGCGAGACATTTATTAAGGGAACTTTGCCCCATTTTACGAACTTTCTTGCCATTGTTGTTAAGTGAGTCACTGCAGGTATTGTTAAATGAATCTGACTTTGTCAGAAGATTGCAAAAGATCACATGAGCACAGGACACTGCAACCATCCTAAGTACATGCCAGTTGCCAAGTTTCTGAATTTTGATCATATGATTATGGGAATGCTGCATCAATGGTTAAGTGTGAAAAATGGTCATGTCCATTTTTCCAATACCATTGTCATTTTGAACTCGGATTACAAAATGGAGTGGTTCAGAGCCAGAGGAACATGAATATGGTTTTTTCCCCCCCGAATCTGAGCTCTTCTTCAAAACTCCTATTTTCTAACTTGATTGTGTTCTTAGATATGTTTGGTCTAACTTCTGAGGGAAAGGCCAAGTCTCAAAATGGAGTGGTTGTTCAGCTAAAAAGACGTAGGGCAATATCAATATGTGTTTCTTTTCCAAGGCTTAAAAGGAAGTTGTTTTTAAGCTTCCAAGAGCCAGGGGAAACTGAATGCTCGGATCACAAAATGAAGTGGTTTTTCAGCTTTCCAGATGCAGGTCATCATCAATATGTTTCTTTTTGGAATCTGAGATCTGGGTCAAAACTCATGTTTTCTGGCTGAATTGAGTTCTACTGCCAATTCTGAGATCCTCTTTGGTCAGGGAAAGCTCAGAGCACAAAATGGAGTTGTTTTTCAGCTTTCCAGACACAGGTCAAAATCAATGTGTTTCTTGTTCAGGGCTGAAAAAGATATTTTCCTGGGCCAGGGGAACATGAATATGTTTCTTTTTAAAATCTGAGATCTGGGTCAAAATTAATATTTTCTGGCTGAATTGAGTTCTACTGCTTTGAAGTTCTTTTGTCTAACTGCTCGGATCACAAAATGGAGTGGTTCAGAGGCAGAAGAACATGAATGTTTTTCTTTTTTGAATCTGAGCTCTTCTTCAAAACTCCTATTTTCTAGCATAATTGTGTTCTTAGATACGTTTGGTCTAACTGCTGAGGGAAAACTTGAATCTCAAAATGGAGTGGTTGTTCAGCTATGCAGATGTAGGTCAACATCAATATGTGTTTCTTTTCCGGGACTGAAAAGTAAGTTGATTTTAAGCTTTCCAGAGCCAGAGGAACATGAATATGTGTTTCTTTTTTAAATCTAAGCTCTTGGTCAAAACATATTTTCTAATGTAATTGAGTTCGAATGTACGCTTCATTCTGATTGCTGAGGGAAATGTCGAATCTCAAAATGAAGTGGTTTCTCAGCTATCCAGACATAGCTCAACCTCTATATTTGTTTCTTTTGGGAATCTGTGATCTGAGTCAAAACTCAATTTTTCTGGCTGAATTGAGTTCTACTGCCAATTTTGACATATTCTTTGGCTAACTACTTGGATAACAAAATGGACTGATCATTCAGCTATCCAGAAGCAGGTCAACATCAATTTGTGTTTCTTTTCCGGAACTTAAAAAGACTTTGCTTTTAAAGTTTCCAGAGCCAGGGGAACATGAATATGTGTTCCTTTTTGGAATCAGAGATCTGGGTCAAAACCCATGTTTTCTGGCTGAATTGAGATCTACTTCCAATCTGAGATACACTTTGGTCTAACTCTTCAGGGAAAGATCAGATCACAAAATGGAGTAGTTTTCAGCTTTCCAGACGCAAGTCAACATCAGTATGTGTTTCTTTTTGGAATCTGAGTTTTGGGTGAAAACTCACGTTTTCCGGCTGAGTTGAGTTCTACCGCCAATTCTAAGATACACTTTGGTCTACCTCCTGAGGGAAAGCTTGGATCTCAAATGGAGTGGCTGTTCAACTATGCAGACACAGGTCAACATTAATCTGTTTTTCTTCTCCGGGTCTTAAAAGGAAAGTGTTTAAGAAGGAAGGTGAAAAAGAAACACATGTTCATGTTCCTCTGGCTCTATAAAGCTTAAACACCACTTTATTTTGAGATCCGAGCTTCCCCTTAAGAGTTAGACCAAAATGCATCTCAGAATTGGCGGTAGAACAAAGAGATTTGGAAAAGAAAAATATATTGATGTTGACCTGGGTCTGGAAAGCTGGCATTTTTACAGAAAAGGCAGGGTTGTTGGGCAGGGTTGTTGAACTCAAGGCCTCCTGGCTGGATCTGGCCCATGCGTTGCTTATATCGTCAGATCACAACAGGGCCTCCCTGGAAACCATGAAGAACCAGACTGTGTTGCCTATGCCATTGAGAATGGAGTTTGGGAAGGCCAAATATTTGGCCTGGATGGCCTCCTGCAGCTCTCTACCAGCAAAAACAGACCTTGGGGGCTGCATGCGGCCCCTTGAATTGTATTTTACTGGCAGAGGACTGCATGCACCCCAACCCCACCCCGGGCTCCATTTTTGCTGGCAAAGGGCTAGCAAAACAAACAAAAAGCAAAACAAAACAAGAAATGTTTTCCCTTTTGCATTTGAGCCTCCAAGAAGGGACAGGAAAGGAGAAAGGGAAAGACAAAGAAAAAAGGCAAGGAAGAAAGGAAAATGAAGAGGGAAGGAAAGAGAAGAAAAGGAAGGAAGGAGGAAGGCCACCAGCAATCAGCAAGGCTCATCTGGAGGACAAGGTTTTGGTGTTCTCTGTGGTCTCACGTTCCTCCTCTGGAGACAATAGATCCCACCAGTCCCATCTGGCCCCCAATCGTACCCCTGACACAAGTGATGTCAAGCTGGCTATTCCGCCCCCCCCCCAAAGCACATTCTCCGCAGGTCGAACACAAACCTGATGCGGCCCACAATGAAATCGTGTTTGACACGCCTGGTATAGGGTGTCCTGCTTGAGCAAGGGATTGGACTATAATACCTCCACGGCCCATCCAACTCTGTTGTTCTGTTTTGTTCTATATTCTGTAAGCACATATTACTAGGTTAACCAGATATTAGTTTAGTAAGGAGAATTTTAGTTTTACTAAAAAACCATTATTAAGCAACTAAAGGAAAAGTCAGATAGAGTCAGCATTATTTAATTGCAGTTGTGAAAGTATAAAGAAAACTTCAGAGATGTTTAGAGAATCAAGAAGTAAATCATTTAGTAAAAGTTTAATAATATAATAATTTTATTAATAATGCATCAGTGAAACTATACATTCAAATTCAACTGTGAGAAAGTTGGGAGAGATGCAAGCATCGCTCATGGTCTTTTTTTTTGCTGAATAGTTTAAAAGGATATATAAACAAGCAAGAAAAAGGCAGGGCAAAAACTAATAAAATACATGTGAGGACAAAATATTTACAAAAAGATGAAACTAGACTACACTACATTAATTATAAATAACTGAATATATTATATTGTTTTAAAGTTAAAATCACTGTTAAACTGGAAACAAAACATGATATCAATAAAGATGAACAAAGTAGAATAATTCAATGAAACTATAAACTCACATTACTAAAATCTATTATGATTTGAATAAAATCATAAACCCAATTTTTTGAGTAGTTTGAGTCCATATGTTAAAGAAGGGGTTCTCATTTCAATTAAATTCTGTGTGAAATTTATTTTTAAAGCATGAAGGCATCAAAGTGTATTCCCAAAACTTGGTTTGACAGTCTTCCACTTGAAGGGATCAATAATTCTTCTAATAAAAAGTGTATAATCCCTTGTAGCAGTTGATAGATTTGCATCTTCTCCTTTAAATAGCAATAGCACTCAGATGACACTGCTCCACAGTGCTTTACAATGTCCCCCAAAATCTGGAGCATTTTATCAACCTCAGAAGGATGGAAAGGCTGCGTCAACCTTGTTCCTGCTAGGATCCAGGCTGTGGGTTGCCTGCAATATTGCATTCTAACCATCAGGGCTCAGTGAAATCTTGAAATCTTCCCGTGGCCAGCTTCTGCCTGCCTAGATGAGTAAAAAGAGTAAGCACAGACCACTAGCCAGCTTTTGTGGTGGCTAGAGGGCAAACTGGTTCCACTTTCTGCCTGCAAAATGCTACATCTTTTTATATTATCATGGTTTTAATCCAGATCTAAATACCTAAACATTGAAGTGTTTAAAGGACTTTTGAATCCCCTAGGGCCTAGTCTGTCCACTTTTAGTTTTAAGTGATGAGGGTGTGGCAAAAAGGTTCATTTTTGGAATTTCTGTAAGAAGCCATCAAGCAATTGCAGATCCTGTTGGATTGGATTTGCTGTCTTTTACGTCAATTGGAACTTTGGAAAAAGCTACTCTATTTTCTTACAAACAGGTTAGAAAATTGTGCAAATCATTCCATTATGTGAATGTCTTGACTGCATTTTGAGTTTTCACTGCAGTAGACTATGTAAATCTCCTTCACTGCTCTCCTTACTGAAGTGAATAACTGATGTTATTCACTTTGAAATGATTTTGGGTGGACATGTCATTTCCATTTTTTTCCCTGTTAAAGTGATTGTCAAAGCTTGATTGCATTGTCTTGTGCGTTTACCCTTTTCTGTAAAATCTGCTCTGATGGCTCCTTGCTATGGATCATTATTTGTCTTTCACTTTGAAAGTTCAGTGTAAACACTTCTGATTGTGATATTTCTGTTTCATTGAGTGGCTAGAGCTTGGGCATTTCTTGTATTCTAATAGGATCAAATTGGCGACATTGTCCTCTATTCTTTCATCTGAATTTTTTTCCAATTTTTGTGTTGGTTTCTATTTTTCAACCATGTGATGTTAATGATTCTGACCTAGTATGAAAACATGTACTAGTGATATGTAGTAGCAACTATTGCTGATATTTGGGTCATTTGGTTTTTAAAAAACAATTAGAAACAATATAAAAAAAATCTTGACTTTTTGAATTTTCCTATTAGGCTGATTGAGAATTTTGTCACTCTCTGTTTCGCTGGGTTTAAAGATAAAATTGTCTGATGCTTTCTAATAACTATTGCAATCAGTCACTCCATCAAAGAGATGAGTGGCATATAAATGTAAATAATAGAAATCTGTCCTTTTATTGCCTTTTAAGAGAATTAGAAGATTGTATAAAATTGCTAATTGTGGGATTTTCCCTACTGCATTTTGCAGTCATTCCTGATGACTGGCCAATTCTTGTTTTTTTTATTTTATTATTAGGGCTCAATAATAAAGACTTCAAATAAAGATTACCTCAAACAGTAGTTTTTTAAATTTTTGGCTAAGTCTCAAGTGGATTCGCATTGCTGCATATTCTTCAAGTTTAAGTTCCCAATCAGATATTGTCAGATTTGTATCCTATTGGGCAAAAATTATTCTCACTTGCATGTATCTTATTAAATTATAATGTTGGTGGCCAGGAGGTGTGGCTAATTATCCTGCACTACAAATTAGGAAACAAGCCCGGGCACAAGTGGGTGGGAAGGGGACCAGTGTTGGAGGAGGAGCACCAGAGGAGGATGAATGCCTATGATAGGTCAGCTGAGTTGGAGGGACTGGGGTGAAATGGGAGTTTTGTCAAATCTCTTTGCAGGTCCCATTCTAACCGCTCAAGATGGAGGGGAAAATGGAGGGGGTGGGGTTAGTTTTACTTACAGATCTCTTGCCAGCAAAATGCACCTCAATTCTTGGTTGTTTTGCAGTTTTCACTGGTGGGAGAGTTCCCGGGCTGGTGCCATGGTGTTTCTTTTTCCCATGCCTTATTAGTCCCCAGCAAAAACAAAAACTTTTTTCTGTGTTATGGTCTACGCTGTTACCTTCTCCAAAAAATAAAAAAGGATCCAATGGGAGTATTAAAAATTGATAAAATAAAACCAAGAGGTGCTACCGCAAACATGCTCCTGCAGCACCAGCCAACAGCTGTTCCATTGTGGGAGTGGCATTGTGGCTATGGCCAGTTGTCCTGTTCTACCTGCAAGATGCTGCCATCTTCATAAATGCAAGCTGGTACCAAATGGCAATCGTATGTCTGAAAGGGTAGCATGAAAGTCATAATTTTAAGGACAACTTTTTCTGAGGTTGTCATAACTTTGAAGCATTGTTAAATTGTCATCAATGAATACCTATAAAGAAGTTAAGTACTTATAAAGAAGGACAGTCTTGACAAAGACTAATAAGGCAAAGCTGTAGAGGATGAATGACCATGACTGCTGTGATAATTTCACCAATGAACTAATGAGCAAGGAAGGTTAGGTCTTAGAAGTTGGGTAACCATCCTTAGAACAGGTCCTCTCACATTTTTGAAAATTTGAAATGAGTTTTTGAAAACTCATTGTGAACATTTATATAAAATTACTGTCACCATAGGAGACAAAATGGATACAAAAATTCTACACACCCTGGTACATATCAGATTTCTGAGATGTAAAAAAAAAAAAAAACCAGACCAAGATAAATCATTTCAGAATTTTTTTCACAATATCACATATTGTATAAGCTGCAGAATTCAATTGAAAACCAAACTGAAATCTTTTATGGGCAAAATATATTTAAAAACTTACAATAATGTGGTTGCATAAATGTGCACAATCTTAAACTAATACTTTGCTGAAGCACAACATAGACATCATTCAGTCTTTGGGGTAGGAGCCTTTCAGCATGACATATCTTGCCTCGGGAACCTTTGCCTACCCTTTGCAAAAGTGCTGCCTATCTGTCAGATTGTGAGAGCATTTTCTGTGCATAGCCCTCTTTCAATCACTGATTTTCAATTGGATTCAGGTCTGGACTCTGGCTGAGCCATTCCAAAACATTGATATTCTTCTGATGAAGTTATTCTTTTGTTGATTTGGAGGTATGCTGAGTCATTGTCATGATGAAAGATGAAATTCCACTTCATCTTGGGCATTTTATCAGAGTTCTGAAGGTTTTGTGCCATAATTCAATATTTGGAACTGTTCATAATTTCCTCCACCTTGATTAAAATTCTAGTTCAAGCTGAAGCAGTCCCAAGGAATAATGCTGCTAACACCACACTTCACTGCAGGTGATGTACTTTTGGTGCTGCACAATTGTTTTTGCAGCAAACATACCTTTTGGAATTATGCCCCTTAAAGTTCAACTTTGGTCTCATTAGACCATAACACATTTTCTCACATGCTTTTGTCAAACTTAATGTAGGTTTTTGCAAAACGTAGCCAGCCATGGATGTTTTCTTTGTAAGAAAAGGCCTCTGTCTTGCTGCCCTACCCCACAGCCCAGACGTTTGAAGAATATGGGAGATTGTTGTCTATTCTAGCAAATACACAACTAGTATTTGCTAGAAAATTCTGCAGCACCTTTAATGTTGCTATAGACCTTTTGGACCAGTTTTCTTGTTTTTTTGTCAATTTTGGAGGGACATCAGTTCTTCATAATGTCACTGTTGAGTTATTTTTTTCCGCTTGTTGATAACTGTCTTTACTGTGTTCTATTCCATAGTATATCCAATCCCTTGGAAATGGTTTTGTATCCCTCTCCTGACTGACCATGGGTTTTGCTGTAACAGGCAACTGAGTAAATGTCAGAAAAATCCTACTAGAAGAGATGAACTTTATATGGGATTGATTATTTTTCTCCCCTAAAAGATTTCAGTTTGTTTTTAATCAAATTGTACAGCTTATATTGAAGGCAGAAGTTATTTAGCGTGGTCTGATTTATTTACATTTTAAAAATGTGGCATTTAAACAGATTTTAACGGGACGTTTTATATCCATAGTATATTATATCTCTTAGTGCACAGTGTTATTCTTTTGTTTGCCTTTTCTTTGGATGTATTTCCATGTAAAGATATAGCCCTCTCTTTTATTATTGTTTAAGAATGCATGTGGGGCACATGTTGGACCTATAGAATTTGATTACACTGCAGAAAGAAAGAGCAGGACATACATAAGCAGGACGGAAGGGCGCTCAGTTCCACTGCAATAGACATTGCCTTTATATATCTTTGCTTCTGGGGGATAAAGAGGCAGATTTCATTCTTAGTCTACTCAGGAATGACAAAAAAACACAGACATGAAATATAGACATATTTCAACCCACTGAACTTTGTAAGATGCAATTAAACAATTAAAAATACAAACAAAGTCTGTATTTTTTCTTGAACTTAACTATGACCAAGGAGCATGTGTGACAATAGGACTATGTCCATCTAGAGATCCAGTTTAGTGTCATGACTAAGGCACCACATTAGAAACTGGGAGACGTTCCAATCCTTCCCTAGGCAGAAAGCTGGCTGGGTGACCTTGGGCCAGTCACGTCCCCTGAAACAGGCAAGAGCAAACCACTTTCAAAATCTTCCCAAGAAAATTGCAGGACTAGCCCAGGAAGTTGCCAGGAGTCAACAATGATTCAAACACACACATACACACACACACACCTACCTTGTTTCAAAAAGGGTGATTCTACATAATTGGTCAATAGTGACACTCTCTAATTTTTCCAAAACAATATAGAATAAAAAGGCAACATATTTGACATGTAAGGAAATAAACATCTAAGCCACATTTCATTTACAGGCAATTTTTATTTTATCCTAAAAAGTCAATTAACTCCTATACACACACATATTCACCCACACATATACATACTCACCCATACACACACCCAAATCCACATGCATACTCACACACAATCACCTATCGTTCCATACAGTAGACATTGGCCAGTGGGATTCTGCAGTGAACATAGAGAATTTTAGCCTGGTGGGAGACCTAGTTGAAACACATTTTACGTCTGGGCAGGAGAGAAATGGCCTTTCCTAAGTGAAAGACTGCAAAAAAGATTGAAAGAAACATTTTGCGGTCCATTCCTGAAGGAGGTACAGTAGAGGCTATTTTTTGCCTATTGCAGGTCTTCACTTCACCTCAGTACTTTTGATAGGAAGTAGCAAGCACTAGATTGGAATGCCTGCAAGACACAGAGCAATTTTAAAATAAAAATAGAAGCACCATACCAATGCTCACCCTAATGAAGTTTACACGGCAATCTGAGATTATTATTTTCTTTCTTTTATTTTAGATGCAGATTTTCCAGTTAAAATGTTGTTCAGTGACCCTTCTAATCCTCTCAGAAAGTTCAGTTTACTCTGGCAAAAGTACAAGCCTAAATCCCTGAAGATTCAAGAGTGAAAGAATGGTCCTAAAGTAAATCTGTGCAAGGAATGCTGACAGTGAAGCAAAGTACTGTACTTATACAGAAGCTGGTTATTTCTTGGCTTGATTCTAACAGTATCTGGCCTTCTTGCTCCATTCTGAAAGAAATCAAAGCAGGCCTTTACTGAAAACTTTAAAGCAAGGAGAAGCTGGAAGATTGTCACCTTAGAATGTTTACTTTGGGATGCTCTTACTCTTTTGCTTAGGGCAAGCATAACTTCAGTTGGACATAGCATGATCAGAATCCATCATTCCTTTAGTCATTTCCTTTTTCTTTAATTTATTTCAGAAATTGTGGAGTCAGTAGACTGCTGGGTAGCCAAAAGGGGAACAGGGGAGGTTGCCTCTATGAGAGCTGGGTTCAGAATTATAGGCAGAGACAAACGTGGCACTCCCACTTGTAAAGGGGAGGCTAGTGGTTGAAGAATAAGAGGCTGCTGTGCCACTGCTGGAGGAATATCTGTAGCCATGTTCATCTTCCCAGGTGTTGCTGGAGAGGCAAAATGTGATCCAAAGTGACTGGAAATGCAGGCATTCTCAGAATCTGCGGGGAAAAAATAACAGACTTCTCATTTTTATAGGAGGGACATTAGTCTCTATCACTTTCCCCAAATTTCACACAATTCATTCTGAGCTCTTCTAAATCCTTAGAATTTGAGTGTTCATGTCTGCAATGGGGTTTTCTTGTATAATCTCCATGTAAATGTTGTAGACATTATAGGAGAGGGGTGGTACTCTACAGTGGCAAGAATCAGAAGTCTGGTGGCTCCTTTTCTCACTAATAAATTTTATTAAGCACAAGCATTTGTGAGCTGCAGCTCACCATCAGAGTGACTGTTTAAAGATTTAAACTGGGGTGAGTAGGGGAAATATAGGGATGGCCATCAAGATCGTCTGACCTGTTGACCTCATCTTCATAACCAGCTACCTTCCTTGCCTTTGCCATTCCATTCTATTCCATTCCAGTATAAATTTAAATCCCATCAGTCTAGCCAGAAGTGAACTTTTTAATTAGCATAAGCAATTTGTCTATGTTACTTTAATTGTAGGATTCTCACTGGCCCAGCAAATAGGTTTTAATATATCCATTCTTATATGTTATTCTTAGACCTGGGCATAACTCTCATCCATTTCACACCACACTTCAAAACCATTTTATTTGCATTCTTTAACTTAACTCAACCTTGCCTTCCAGGGAAAGGCTGATGACTTTCCACCATCAGGCAGATATTTTGGCCCAATTTGTTACAGTCCCTGTAAAAGGGGGTCTATTCTATTGGGCTGGGTTTTAAAGGTTTAAATGATTGTTTTTCATGCACTGAATTTTAGCTTGGAATTTTGCTTTTTAAACACCTATTTAAAAACCAACGATTCCTCCTTGCTTTTGCATATTTTGCTATTATTAGATTATGTGATTATGAGCAATCAGAGAAAAATATTTTTAATTAGTTTTTTCCCCTTCTGTTTCTATTCTGTTCTTATATTCATAGTTCATCTTGTAGAAAATATAATCCTACCACTGGCTGCTAGTTCTGGAGACTTCTCAGATGATGCTGAATGAGTAGATGGTCTGGAATCCTCTCCAGAGGAATGTGTCTGAGCAGATATCGATGCTTTTGGAAGATGTACTTCTACTGGTAAGGTAGAAACTGGGTCTAAATAAAAGTAGCAAACAGCAGTATTATAAACATCCCTCAAATAAAGCTGCATTCAGACTATGGCCCCTTATGTACTGTATCTGCACAACAAACCATTAGAGACATGCAAAATACCCCAATACCGTGACGTGTGCCACAGGTGGCACATGGAGCCCTCCCTGCTGGCATGCAAGCCATCCCCAGCTCAGCTCCAATATACATGTGCGTGCGCCTCCTGCTGGCCAACTGATTTTTGGGTCTCTGCTGGGCATGTGGGGTGTGTGTGTGCATGTGCAGAGTGGGGGGAGCACAGGGGGATGCACTGTGCCCCCCTGTGCCGTTTTTGGTTTCAGGAGGCTTCAGGGAGGTGAAGTGGCAGTTCTGACAACCTGGCTCTGCTGCACCTTGTGGGCCACTCAGATATCCTCCCCTTCCCAGAGCACCAACCCCTGGCCACACAGTGCTCATGCACTTTGCCTGGGACTCACAATGACCTGTCATCCTCACTTAATAACATCAACTAAGAGTGCCAAGTTTGCCATCAGTAAATGATGTAGTCACATGACACCATGCTTTATGACAGCATTGCTTAGAGATAGAAATTTGGGTCCCAATCAGAGAAGTTTGGAGACTTCTCAGATGATGCTGAATGAGTAGATGGTCTGGAATCCATCCATAAGGTAGAAACTGAATCTAAATAAAAGTAGCAAGGGGCAGTATTATAAACGTCCCTCAAATAAAGCTGCATTCAGACTATGGCCCCTTATGTATCTGCACAACAAATCGTTGTTAACTAAGCACCGCCTGTACATAATGTGTTCAATATGCTTTACAGGAGTACATTTTAGTTGATGAAATATACCTTTTTAAATATAAGGTTATTTACATTTGATAATTTACTATGTCTTAGATACAATTAAGAGAATTTTATGAATTTTCTTTAGTAAGCATCAGGTATAAGAAATCAGGAACCTGATTGTTCAACTGAATACAAATACCATGCTATCTCTAAACAAGAATCTGAACTACTAATGGTTAAGGCAAATTAACCATTTGCCTTAACCATTAAGGTTAAGGTAGATAAGAGTCAATGGAATTCAAGAAGGCCTGGACTTAAATATTTTGTGAGTGCAAACTGCAAAGTGATGACATGCTTCCTCTGGCTCAGCCTGGTCATGTCCTACAGTAAGTGTTTTATTAGTATTTTAAGATATTTTATAGATTGGGATTATTTGTTTACATTTGGAGGTGGTGATTCTATTGTTATAATCTTTAAATCTCTAAAAGAAAGTTGGAGGTCATTTTTATTATAAATTTGTTTGATGTATAATTTTTGGTCATTTTTGTTATTCCCTTTCCCTTTTAGGTTAGTATTTTAATGTTTAATGTTAAAATTTGATAGAGATGAAATATATAAAAACAAATTAAATTTGGGAAGTTGATAAAAAGGAAATTGTTATGCCCAGTCTTGGATTGTGGCTTTCCAAAACTCAAATAATAGCCTCTTTCTAAGGGATCTTGGTCTAGAAAGGACCACGTAACTCTGAAACTCAAGGGCTCTATATGGGCTTCTTAATGTATACCTTGGATGACTGTCTGTTTGAAGAGCTCATCTCGTAGTTTTGGCAAAAAGCAGTCTATGCGCTCCCAGGTGATTTCCCATAGATCTGAGTAGCCTGTTCGTGAATCAGCATTATGGAATATCCCAGCTGTGTCCATTACTAGTAGCATATTCTTCAGTGATTCAGGGATGGCCTCTGGCTGGAAGGCAAAATGTATTTATCAATAGGTCTGCAGCTTCCTGAAAATTAAGTAAGCCTCGACACTCCTGCAAAATTGCCACTGATTTTTTAAAAAATATTTTTATTATACATTTTTCTTTATAATACATCACATTTCCAGTTTTGCAACGATGGTGTACTGGCTAGAACAAGACCTTTTAAAATATACACAGTATTATACCTCCTGATTATAACCATTATTTTCAGAGTCATACAGTATAGTCTCTTTTACATACATAATGTTGTACGCCATTATTTTCATAGTTGTACCATAACACTCCATATATTTATCACTTTATATGTTTTAATCTATAGTCATGTACAATCCAAAAGTAATAGAGTGAACTCGTTATTTGTCTCAGCTGCTGTCAATCTAGCAGTTCAAAAGCATGTAAAAATGCAAGTAGAAAAATAGGGACCACTTTGATGGGAAGGTAACAGTGTTCCATGCACCTTCGGCATTTAGTCATGCCAGCCACATGACCACGGAGCTGTCTTCGGACAGGGCTGGCTCTTCAGCTTTGAAACGGAGATGAGCACCGCCCCTAGAGTCGGGAACGACTACTACATATGTGCGAGGGAAACTTTTACCTTTACCTATATATACCCTATTTTTTGGAGTATAAGATGCACCCCCCCTAAATAAAAAGGTGAAAATTTGGGTCCTTCTTATACACCAAATGTAGCCCCACCTGATGGGCTGGCTGCTAAAGCAAGGTCATGGCACACACTTGAAAATAAATCAGAAAATTTTCTGTTATTTCTCTGTTTACTATCACTTTCACTGTTTGATTGGAGTATATTGCTTGGATCATCTTTACAAGTTTTCACCAAAGTTCATGCTTTTCAATTGTAATGTCATAAACTGCCAGTTCATGTTATCAAAGGCTTTTTGTGTGTCCAAAAAGATCAATGCTAGCTGTTTTTCGGGGTGTACTTCGTAGTATTCCAATACATTCATAATAATTCTGTTATTTTTCAATTGTGTTTTAGGGATGTGGCCGGCCGAATTACTACCTACTTCACCGAACTGTTCCGAACTGTTAGGAACCCACCTCTGCTCCACTTACTTACCAACAAGTCACTGGAGCCAGCATGCATGTATTTATCCATGAAATCCAATATTGTCAGCCATAAAGCAGCAAATGTTGGGAGAGAGAGGAGTGGGGACAAATGTTGCAAGAAGACCTAAACAGAAAATATAGTGAGAATTTAGTTTAGGATTCAGCAAGAATGTAAGTCTTGTCCATGGTGACTTTCATGTGATGTTAAAAAAAATTTTTTTTTTTACAAATAACAGAGATCAATTTGCACACTGTTCTTTATTCTTAATAAAAAATGAAAACAAACGGAGTGAAATCACCAGTGACAATTAATAATGTGGCACAAAATTTTCAGGGTAACTGTATGAGGAATCAAATTAAGACTTCCACAAATCAGTCTTACATTTTAAATTCTGGAGTAAAATTTTATTTCACATAAAACATATCTAACCCTTTAAAGCTGAAAAAAGTTCCCCCATGAATTTATAGATAGAATAGAAATAATTAAATATGTATATTTAAATAACGGGTTTGTAACTGAATACTGAATCTTTTAAAAAAAACTTGTATCGCCTCCCAAAAGAAGCTGTGGCAATTTTCCAGTCCCATAAGTGCTCTTATGTTCTTACAAATGCAAATTTGTTTACTTTTATCACAACACTTAACTGACAAAACCTGTTGGCCAGTCTCCATAGAAATGGCGCTAAATTCTGGAAACATACCTGCATCCAATTTTCATTTTCTTCTCCTTAACAGAAACAATCATGAGAACCATTACAATTCAGTCAGAAATCACTTTCTGAAAAGAGAAATAGCCTTATACCTTGGAGAGTAAAGTTGAAGCTCTCATTCTGGTCTCTTCCATCCCTCCAATATCTGCCGGGCTAATATTTTCCAGAAGTTTGGTCAGCAAAGGAAACAGAACCTATTGATCCAAGGTATGAAATTTGCTAATAGTTAAGAAAGAAAACTCTAATATTGTATACAGACTGCAAGCAAATCAGGAGTTAAGTACTGGTGAATTGGCGGAGGAAGCGGATTAACTCATCAATAAAGGTATGTGCTAGTCGTTCCTGACTCTAGGGGGCAGTGCTCATCTCCATTTCAAAGCCGAAGAGCCAGCACTGTCCGAAGACGTCTCCATGGTCATGTGGCCAGCATGACTCAACATCAAAGGTGCACGGAACATTCCCACCAAAGGTGGTTCTTATTTTTCTACTTGCATTTTTACATGCTTTCGAACTGCTAGGTTGGCAGAAGCTGGGAGAAGTAACAGGAGCTCACTATGTTATACAGCGCTAGGGATTTGAACCGCCGAACTGCCAACCTTTCTGACTGACAAGCTCAGCATCTTAGTCACTTAGCCTTGACTCATCAATAGATAAATGTTATGAATAAAATAAATTTCTACCCATAGGCCAAAAATAGGCACTGGTGCCAATTAGTCTCCACTTCAGACTTGTTTATTTGTCTGTTCTGCTTTGTATACCCCACAAGTCAGTGAATTTATGATTAGAATTATGAACAGAGATTCACAGTGCTAGTGAGATATTTAATAAGAACATACTATTTACTTCAGTTTATCTGGCCCAACTCCCTACGCTACTTTTTCTTGCAATGAAAGATGTTGAATCATGCTATCCCTAACAAGGGAAGTCAGGAAAATGCTTTGGTTTCATTCTCTTTGAGATTCAAAGATATAACTTGAAAGCGATTCGTACCCTCACCACCGTCCAGGCCTTCCGCACAGCCTTGAAGATGTGGCTAGCCCGTCAGGCCTGGGGATGAATATTGTTTCCTCTC